CTGTTCGCCAATCACAACGCACTGGGACAGCTAACCAATCACAACACATTTTGTTTTTCGGAAGGCGGACCTTCATCAAAGCCGGAACTAATTGAGCCGTTTGTGGCAGGCTGGGGAGAGAGGGATTGTAATAATGTAAATTATGTGAAAAATAATGCGTTTTTCGAACCACCAAGCATGAGAGCATGTTCTAGTACACCCCGAAAACAAAATCAAGACTTTGTAAAAGAGCATAATAGGACCCCTTTAATAGTTTTGTGGAAGTCATGATACATTTTTCAGGATTCTATGCTAAAATAAATGTTTTATTTGAAATAGAAATCTTTTGTAACAATCTTTTATAAATGTATTCACTGTCACTTCTGATCAATTTAATGCGAAAAAAAAAAATCTTAATGACCCCAAACTTTTAAACAGTAGTTTACTTTGGCATGCCATTTGCACTGTCAGAAGTGAACATTATAATTTACAGACTGATGCACAGAATGTCTTGATAAAGATTTAGCTTTAAAAGGTCTTATCATACATTTAGTTTTTACAATTTTTCTCCCTCCACTTATAACGCTAGTCAAAATGTCGTTTACAGAAATGTACTTAAGAATGCTTTAGAACACAAGGCTATTTTAAGCACTATCCTAAATGTAAATATTTAAATGTATGCTAATCCAACTTTAAGCAACTACAACACATGTACCTTCCATGTAGGTTTAGAGCTGTCCATTCTGTCCACAGAATCCCCATCCGCTTGTCCATCCTTTCTCTGTCTCGACATGACCACCTAGATAAACAAAAACACACCAAACAAAGTCAAACTATAAATGTTTTAAGTAACCTACAGTACCACACAACATTCATGCTACATTAAATGTGGCATAGCACATAATTACTTTTAACGAAGCACAGCAGAGGCAACGATGCAGTTTTTTTTCCAATTGCACATTATGAAGATGTACATTTTGGGTGATAGTGGGATTTAATAGTGTTCCTTTTAATAGCATTTGAGAGCTGTTCCTGTCTTCTTAAGGCAGGCTAGGAGTCTTGCGGGAGATAAGATTATACGAGCTACCCATTTTGAGGAATTAACTTATCATTGTGCTAAAAAGCCACATGTTATTAAGGTATTAATGAAATACTGGTGGGCCATTTGCATTTTAATCCTCACATATCAGACCCACTGAATGTGAAAATTGGAGGAAGACAATTAAAATATGTACACATTCATTTGTATGGCAGTATTTGGATGAAGGGATGTGATTTACATATTCACAAGGTTCTCTTTATTACAGCTCATTTGTATTGGAGTATTAGAGGGAGCTGACGAGAGGAGGAGTGAGTGGCACCGCTTCTTAAAAATCCCTCAAAACCCTCTACTGTATGAGAGCAACATTCAAGACAGCTACAAATAGACTGAAGAAAATGCAGCATTACAGTCTCTTTATCTCTGGTATGAAGACAATACAATCAGGTTTGGGAGGGAAGAATGAAAGAAAATTGTGGTTTTAGAGTTTTATGACACACAATCCACCACAAGGACCAGTTTACTTCAAGTTATGATTAGCTTGTAGTTTGGCAGTTTCAAAGTTGATTCCCCAACACTGGTGATGACCACTTCCTTTGTTTCCTTCGCAGCATTAGTTCCTGTTTGTCCTGAGACAGCATAAAATCTTCCCGCTGGTCTTAATGCAGCATCATGACACCCAGAGGCCACCTCACATCCCGCCTCTGCAGTGCGGACTGCAGCCAAAGACTCTTCTTACTCAGAGGATGATGAAAAAACAGCTTTTTTTTGTCAATGAGTTCACACATGGAGAATGACCCGTACTAGACAGTTATGAATGATGTGAATATTTATTAAATGGGAGAGTGTAAAACTAGGCCACTAAAGCATGCAGCAATTTTTTTAAATAAAGGCCATGCATTTTACATTTTATATGTATTTTTCACTATAGATTCAGTATTTGTCTCCCACTTGATGTTTTTAATTAAATATTAAAGGAATAATTCACCCAAAAATGAAAATTCATAATTTACTCACCCTCATGTTGTTCCAAACCCACAATACTTTTTTCATCTTTGGAACATAAATAAATGCATGTTTAATATTCTTTCATAATTTTTTCCATCTATTGAAAGTCTATGCAATCAACATTTCTGATTACAGAATTGTCATTTTCATTTTCAGGTGAACTAGAATTTATGATGGAGTTACTGGACAGTGTTGTCGATGGTCACATAATGTAGTTTGCGCAAAGTCTCTAAATCTGCAGTGAACTGCAGCAGGCAGTTATTGCAAAGAGTATCTCAAATACAGAGTTCTGTCATGAAACTCTAGATGGCGCAGTCCGATAGGTCTAACTCAATCTGACTTAATAACATCATTATCACATGGCACAGCTGATTGGTAGCCAATGAGCTAGGTGCTCAAAATTCAAATATATGACTAGTGCTTGCCGTAGCAGTTGCAACTTGCTTCAGAAACCCTCCACCTTCCCCAGCTCCACCTGTATAGATCTGCTATGAGGTGATTCATGTATTCTATATGGGGGTAATTTCATGTATGTTATATTTGCAGCAGCAATATTTCTTACATGCTCATAGCATGTATCTAGCCCATGCCAATCCCTCCAAGAGTTGTCATGACAGAAATATATTCTCAGTGTAAATAAAGAAGAAAATACTGTTAAAACTGGATGATGGGCATTTTGTAAAAAAAAAAAAATTTAATATTAAAATGTAATTTGCAAATAATCAGTATGAGTGGTACGTGAAATGTATATTTTGTTTTATTCACAAATGTTCCATAAAGAATTAAATGAACATGAATTAAAAAATAATGATAATAAAAAAACATTTAAAAAGTAGATAGGTCTAACTCAATCTGACTTAATAACATCATTATCACATGGCACAGCTGATTGGTAGCCAATGAGCTAGGTGCTCAAAATTCAAATATATGACTAGTGCTTGCCGTAGCAGTTGCAACTTGCTTCAGAAACCCTCCACCTTCCCCAGCTCCACCTGTATAGATCTGCTATGAGGTGATTCATGTATTCTATATGGGGGTAATTTCATGTATGTTATATTTGCAGCAGCAATATTTCTTACATGCTCATAGCAGCATGCTATGGATGTATTGGCAGTAGCAAGTCTCGGTACTTGCTCTGCCGCAGCAGCAGCATAGCAGATCTATTCCGCCAAGACCAAATACATTAACATTGTCATGTACATTACCATGCCAATCCCTCCAAGAGTTGTCATGACAGAAATATATTCTCAGTGTAAATAAAGAAGAAAATACTGTTAAAACTGGATGATGGGCATTTTGTAAAAAAAAAAAATTTTTATATTAAAATGTAATTTGCAAATAATCAGTATGAGTGGTACGTGAAATGTATATTTTGTTTTATTCACAAATGTTCCATAAAGAATTAAATGAACATGAATTAAAAAATAATGATAATAAAAAAACATTTAAAAAGTATGAGATTACAGAGAAAACAATGAGAGTCTGCAATTAAAACCCATGAATTATGATACTACGGTATGTCAAGTGCATTGGCTTTGTTTGAACTCTCACAAGCATGTGCATGATGGAAACAGACAGCGTGTATTACCTGCATGGGTTGACAGCAGGGGGCAGGTGCTCATTGGACAGATGTTAATGAGATCAGCAAATCCATACCATTGTGCATGTATACCTAAACACACACACATGCAAAAAATGGCCATACCTCCTGAGTGGCGGCTGTCAGCTGTCCTTCTAATGTAGTCACCCTTTCAAGAGCCACCCGTAACCTTTCACGCACCTGTGCAAATGAAAAACAAAAGAGACTTTAACAGCAAAATTTACACTTGCCAAGACAGTGCCCTCAGCATCCATTCCACTTCCAGTCATGTGATCAACTACTACTAATGTTACATAGTCATATATAGTCATGACTTTACATTTTTGAAAAGCATTAATTTGTTTCTTTAAAATATTACAAGTAGAGATGCATGATAGTGCGATTGTCACATCGTGATGGCTATGATTTAATTAGATAAACATAAGCTTTACGGTTTTAGAGAGAAGCACAGCATTTACACACATGTAGTTCATAATGCAGTGTTTCAGTATTTGAGAGCAGCTTGGTTCATTCACTGTAAATCAAGCCGTTCTGAGACACTGATATGATGTGAACATAGTGCCAAGTTTCAGTCTGAACCTAGCAGTGCATATTTTTATTGGTCCACAACCCATCAAAATAAAAGCTAGATGTTTACCACTTGATAACAAAGAAACCAAGATGTAAATACTAGTATTTGCAGTTTTTTTTTTAAATGAAATTATTTTTATTGTTCAATTTCTTTAGTACTTAATAGCATTTATTTTACAATATTTTTTAAATATATTTCTTATTTTGTTTAATATTATTTATAATAATTACAATAAAAATTATTCTATAGTCATATTGAATTGGTCAAAAAAAGAGTAAAAATTACTTTAAAAAAATTATTTTTGATTTTTCTTATCGATATATATATATATACAGTGGGGGGAAAAAAAAGTATTTAGTCAGCCACCAATTGTGCAAGTTCTCCCACTTAAAAAGATGAGAGGCCTGTAATTTTCATCATAGGTATACCTCAACTATGAGAGACAAAATGAGAAGAAAAAAAAAAATTCCAGAAAATCACATTGTAGGATTTTTAAAGAATTTATTTGCAAATTATGGTGGAAAATAAGTATTTGGTCAATAACAAAATTTCATCTCAATACTTTGTTATATACCCTTTGCTGGCAATGACAGAGGTCTTAAAAATCCTACAATGTGATTTTATGGATTTTTTTTCTCATTTTGTCTCTCATAGTTGAGGTATACCTATGATGAAAATTACAGGCCTCTCTCATCTTTTTAAGTGGGAGAACTTGCACAATTGGTGGCTGACTAAATACTTTTTTGCCCCACTGTATATATCACAGGAAAACAAAATATAGGAATGTCAGTTTTTTTCCATTATTGTGCAGCCTTAATTACAATTTAAAAATAAAAAAACCTCACTTTTTCATCCAGAGCTTTATGATGCTCAAAGAGGGATTTCAGAGCCTTGAGCACCTCCACCTCACTGGAAACCCCGGACGGTGGAGGAGCCTGCCTCTTCACCACAGTCATCCTCAGCGAACGCTCGTGACGTGACACCAGACACTCTAAGTGCTCCAAAAGAAGCTATAGAACAACAAAAATGCAGAAACACACAAGCACATGCTAACTCATCTATCGACTAGTCCTGGATCAAATGACTTCAATTGCGCTTGTTCTATACATGGTTACTGCTACTCATAAGCTCTGTATAGTAACATGTAATGGCCCAGCACATTTTTAGAATCACTCAAGAGTGAAAATATAGTAAACTTTGGGCGCTTTACATTGGAAAAACATGTCGTAAGCGAAACGAACTGGCACTGCGACTACAAGCGAATCTACAAGCGAATTAACATCTTTTGCAATGTTCATGACAATGCAGCAGCATGAATCTGGCAATGGAGATATGCACACTTCCATTTCTCACCCGCATCACCTCAGCTGCGTGAACATCCTTTCAATTTACACAATCTCACACCACTGATGCGGCACAATATTTGGCGAAGCATTTACATAAACATTTACCCACCAAATAATTTTCTGGAGAACTAATAGACTATTAAAAATGAGTAGTCTTACAATCCCCAGAACATACACTACCATTCAAAAGTTTGGGTTCGGTAAGATTTTTTTATGTTTTTGAAAGAAGTCTCTTATCAGGCTGCATTTATGTGCTAAAATATCCTGACACAGAAATATTATGAAATATTATTACAATTTAAAATATCTGTTTTAATTTTTTTTTTCAAATGCCATTAAGTCCCATGATGCAAAGCTACATTTTAAGCATCATTACTCCAGGCTTCAGTGTCACGTGATCCTTCAGAATTCATTCTAATATGCTGATGTAGTGCTCAAGAAACATTTCTTCTTATTATCATATTTTCAGGATTCTATGATGAATAGAAAGTTCAAAAGAACAGCATTTATTTAAAACAGAAAATTTCCATAACATAAATGTTATGTACAGTGCTGTAATACTGTCGTGACAATACTGTCACGTTTGATCAACTGAATGTGTCCTTGCTAAATAAAATAATTATTTTCCATTATTTATTTATTTTTAAAGACCTGACCTAAAACTTTTGAACAGTAGTATACATAATGCTGACTTATGCTACTGATAATAATGAAAAGCACCAAACGAAATATTGGGACAAAACACAGCAGTCTGGACTGTACCTACTGTATTGAGATGTCTGGTCAACGTAACACACACAAATACATACTCACCCTGGTATTATTCCTCTCTGCTTTAAGCTCAGATATCTCCTCCTCTTTTTCTAGAAGCTGCTCTCGACACAAATTCAGCTCCTTAGTCAGGGTAGCAAACTCCTGAGAGAAGAGAGAAAAAAGGAGATGAATTCATTCACTTGAAATAAATAATGCACACTAATATGGCACTGTTACGGCGAACTAATACACAACACTCCTAATGTGGTTTGACATGTTTGTTATTTTTATTCAGAACGATTCTTCCAGGACAATACGGATCTACTCAGAATGATAATAACTCATCCACAGACCTCATTTATGCATTTTCTTTCAAACAATCACATACAATACTGTATGTTACTTACTGATCTATCTTTACAATCTCCCTTAAATGGCCCAATAGACAACAATAATTAATGGTCATGGCCCATAGAGCTCCAGAGGTAGTAAAGCTTCAAAATCCTGTTCAGACAATTACTGGGCTTTTGTTGACCAGGGCCACTTGAGCACAGGAGCACACAGATGGATAGAACTCATTTTTAGATTCAGATATGTCTCAGTCAGCCAGCACAAACACCAAAACACCAGTCTCTTTGTAAGAAAACAGAACACATTATTTCGTTACTTATATATTTTACTCACATATGTTTTATTCACATAAGTGGTCACATGTAAATACACTGATGGTTGTGAAATCATAGCCATAATATTAGAATGAACCATTTCTGTGTAATGGTGCACATTCACCATTGCGTAGCACATCAAACTATTTAATTTCAAAAGGGCAAGAGAAATCTTATGATTTATAAATACACCTTAAAATAGACAATACACAGCCTTTAACGGGATAGTTCACCCAAAACTGAAAATTCTGTCAGCATTTATGTTTCTTTCTTCTGCTGCTTATGCTGGTAACTAAAAAAGTTGATGGTAGCCATTGACTTCCATAGAATTTTTGAAACAACTTCCTATCCTTTAAAAAAAAAAAAAACGTGTAGCCTGAGACTTCACTTGCAAATCAATGACATGAAGCTATAACAGCACATGAGCCACTTTATGTAATACATCCCACTAACATTAACACTGCTCATTTCTCTAGTAGCATGAAGACAGCGACACTCTGATTTCGGCTTTCTGCCTCTCAGTCCCGCCGGCATCCGGGCTGCAGTCTTGCGTGGCTCAATTGCTTCGTTCTGCGAAGTGCCCTGGCCGAGCCTCTGGCATTAATCCCAGTTAACCCAGCTGTTCATTGCAGTCTTTTGGGAACCTTTCAGGGCACTGTTGAAGCATGTCAACACCCCTCCTTTTTCAGCATACATGCATTCATACGCTCTTTAATTCAAGTGCACAAAATACTAGGGGGCTGAAAAAAAAAATGTCACATGGATTCTCCGCAGATGGTGAAATGAAGAGAAGAACTGTCGTCTATGCTGCGGCAACAGGGGAATAAGAACTTATTTTGCAATGGTGGAGCATTAACAATCCTAGGATGCATGCGGATGGGTTTAAATCTTAATAAAATAACCTCAGCTTTCAAAATAAATCACAAGGATTTACCAACCAGGATCACATGATCACAAACGCTTTCTTAAAGAGATAGTTCACCGAAGAAAAAAAAATCTGCCATCATTTACTCAGCATCATGTTGTTCCAAATCCGTATGTATTGCTTTCTTCTGTGGAGCACAAAAGAAGATATTTTGAGTGTCTCAGTGTTTCTTTTTTTAATCACTGGAAGTCAGTGGTGTCCAATAGCGTTGTTTTGGACCCCACTGACTCTCATTATGTGGACAAAAACAGTTGAAACATTCAAAACTCCTTCTTTTGTGCTCCACAGAAGAAAAAAAAATTCATACAGGTATTGAGAATGAGTGAATAATTACAAAAGTAATTTTTGGGTGGACTGTGTCTTTTTGAGCATTACATCTTCCATATGGAGGCCTCTCTTCTGTAAGTCTTAATGACTCTTGATTCTTGCTAATGAAGAGATGACAACACTGACAGTGAGTTTATATATAAAAAAAGTATTCAGGCTATTGATTTCCATGGAGATCTATGATTTCCATGCTAAATGAAAACGTTTGAGGTCACATGTTGTGTTGTGTGCTGTTTTTCTGCTTTTTGAACAACACTGCTTGAATGAAATGTAGGGGCAGAAAGGACCGGGAGGGGGAAGAGGAAAAAGAAAATGGGTCAGTGCGTTCATTTGATTTTTTTTCACAGAAGTGGAGGAATAGGCAGAAAGCAAGTTCAAATCCACAATCAGATGTTGGATCTCAAAAAACAAAAAAAAACAAAAACAAGCATTTTTCTAATACAGCAGGGCATGCATGGATGGGAATGAATAAATAAATAAATAAAACTAAAAACATGTTGTACCAAAAAAAGCAATTCGATTTCAATTCACCATGGCTCCTCGATAAGAATAAACAAAAAGGAATTGAAAACATGTATTTGGGGTTTGTCATCAGATATTCCTGTTTCAGTGCTGAATTCAAAGGTAAATTGTGTCTCCCAACTATAGAAGTAACACAAGAGGATTTTCTGTGCTGAGGTTTTGCATTTGAAACCCAGGATTATATTTGTATTGTGACTTGTGAGTGTGAAAAGCTGAAATCCCTCCAAGTATCTGACTTACTTTCTCATCTAGAACTTGGGGTACTGCTTAAATGTGGTTGCAATAAACTTTTCAGCTTACCCCAACAACTATTAATGCAAGAAATTAGTCTCTTTGCAAAACACACACACACACACACACACACACACACACACACACACACACACACACAAAGTGGCACAAACAGATGTGCATTTGATTTATGGTACTGGTATGGTACATGATATCTGGTCATAAACACCTGTAGCGGATTCTCCTATTAAAAATGTTCATGCTGTGTAAATGAGGGATGTGATAACCAATAAATGGTCAGTTAGTATTAAAGTTCTTCACATATTTTTTTGCCTAAAAAAATTTTAACCAGTCATTTAAAATGCTACAAGTAAATTTAGCCATCACAATATTACTATACAGTATGAAAAGTAGATATTAATTTTATTTTCAGATTTGCTAAGGATTACATTTAATGTTGTTACTAAATTATTACTGCTTTTAAAGATTAACTTTAGGTGCGTGTTAGATGATGGCAAGGTAATCTCAGTGTAAAAATAGGGGGCAATAAGCATGCTTAATGAAATGCCCAATATTAGTCAATAACCATTATGGTCCTAATATACTGTGCATTCCTAATATACAGTATATGCATCCTAAACAGCATACACTACTGTACATACACTACAATGGTGCCTTCAAACCCTATTGGTGTTAAAACATAACATTTGCAACAGCTGTGATAACCATATGCCATTTACAAGCAAAGAACTACGAAAACTTTCCAGGTGAATACAATATGAAAAGCAAATCAGTCTGACTGAGACATAAATCACAGGCTGTGCCTCTGGAAACACCACCTTTAACTACCACAGTACCACAGTAAACTAGTCTTTGTGTTTCAAAACAATTTTATCAGCAGAGAAAATTATAAGACCAGCATAATTACCATTTTCCTGAAATGAAAGGAAGGCATGACAGGAAAGGAAAACTGCTAATTACAGGTAATTTTTATGGATATCTGTCATGTAAAAACAGTGAAATTATAGTTGTTAGGTGATAACATATGAGGTGTGAGCTCTGTTTTGTATCTTTTTGTCTCATGAGAACACTGTTGCTGCCTATTAGCTCTTAAAATGCTGGATATAAACTAACAACCCTTATTTTGTTTGGGGAAGTCGTGGCCTAATGGTTAGAGAGTCGGACAAATAAATGGCTGCCCACTGCTCCGGGTGTGTGTTCACGGTTTGTGTGTGTTCACTGCTGTGTGTGCACTTTGGATGGGTAAATGCAGAGCACTAATTCCGAGTATGGGTCACCATACTTGGCCTTAGAGCTAATAATAAATAATAAAAACATTACACATACAACTGAGATCGTACAAATTCAAATGAATTTGCCACCAAATTGCCAATACGTTAAATAGTTATGAACTGATTATGTTGGTGTTTTCCATTCTGAACTGTGAAGTTCTACACATGAAGAAAAAAATGTTTCATTAACATGACATTTTATTTATTCTCATTGACAAGTCCACCAAACGATACATATTATGAGAAGGTTTTTCTTAGCTAGCAAATAAGATGTGACAACTTGGAAATCATCATGATTTCTTTTCACAGATAAATTAATCCAACATCTAACAGTAATCTAATTGAATAAGGGAATACGTCTGGAGATGGGAGGGAAATTAGAGCTATTAGCTTTAATTAATCACCTCAAGCTATTAGTGAGATGGCTATCTGGCACAATGTACAGACGGTCAGCTCATACTAGCACTCTATTCCATCTTCATTTCGCTCAGTGGATGTCTGCTTCAATTAGCATGGAATGCCTGTGAAATATGATAAATCGTACTGCAATAACACAGGTGTCTAAACCACATGGTCTATCCTTTCAATGTAGACCTTGTTAGCAAAGTGTTCATTTGAACAGGGCGACATAGCTTAAATTTTTTTTATTTCTTTTTAAGTTAAGTGAATTGCTGAATCAGAATCAACTGAATCGATTCACTAAAACAGACTGAACTGATTAGTGGAAATAAATCAAATAAAACATTTTAATAACTAGTTTAATTCAAAGGCACTACTGAAACAGTGGGCATTCCAGAGTACAAAAAGCAGACTGAATTTGTTGGCTTGGTGTTGATGGGTTAGTAAGGCCTGATGTTGTTTCATTTCATGCCACAGCTGCTCTCTTTGGCTAATCTTCCCCTTGGCCCAGTGCAAAGAGGGAATTGTTGGAAAATATGCAGAACCTGATGCTCAATTAGCTAGGGATGCACCGAATGTTCGGTAACCGAATAAGCGAAAAGACCGAATAAATTGTACCGAACAATGACGTGACGCGATCAAGTAGCAGCCAGCGCAGAGTGAGAGGCCCAATGCAACAAACATGTCAGCAGTGTGGAAGCATTTAAAACTGTCAGCTCCCTCTCTCTCGCTCACGCGCACGCACACACAACGCTCTCTCTCTCTCTCTCTCTCTCTCTCGCTCGCGCGCGAGCGCGCACA